TTGGATAATTATTTTTAAATATTTTAATTGCTCCGAAGTCCATTTGAAAGGTTGAGCGGTCTTTTCTATGTGAAAGAATTTTCAAGTATCTAGATGCTTTATTTGAGGCTGTGCAACATTTTGAAAACTTGACAATTTTTTTCAAAATATTTAAAAAAAAATTATTTTGCGAAAACTATAGAACCGATTTTAATGAAATTTGGTGTGTTGTTTTATTATACTCTAAAGGTTTTTTTACCAAAATTAGAATCACCTCGGAGTAATCAAAATATTTTTAAAAAATTATTCAAAAATCTTATTATTAGATTATTTTGCATTTTTTTCATCAATTATTGCTATTTCACAACATCGGTAATAAATTTAACATTTTTAACTTGCAGTATATTGTGCAAAATTCAATTCTAAAACCTTTTTTCCTCTTCAAGTAACTTATTAGTTTTGAAATTTGATGGTAGTATAATGTAAAGTTAAAGTTTACAGTGATCTTCCAACATCTCGCTTTTAAAGAAATTAGTGTCAAATAAAATGTACCTATTAAGATAAAACTTTTATTAATTGTTAAGAACTACTATTACCAGAAATAAGTAATGAATAAATAACAAAATAAAGGATATAAACTACATATGTAAGTTATTGTATATTTACAATACCTCTATTTGATATTGAATCATTCTAATTGCAATTAATACTGTGACAACATCGATAAAAAATTTGTTTATAGATTTTTAAATAAAATTGTTTTTGTCAGTAAGCTTCCGAGTCTGGTTTGTACATTATATCTTTTATCTTAAATACCTCGTGATGCACTCTAATCTTGAAATAATTTTTTAAAATTAGTTTTACTAATTGTAATGGGATAAGGAGCCAATCAAAAGTAAAGGACCTTAAGATCCCCCTTGAACATAACAAATTGGGCCTATGCAGTATCTAGTACTATAAATAAGATCGATGAACTATTCCGTTTTTGTGGCGAGGAAAACCAGGAAAACAAATTGGTAATTTTCTCGTTGCGTAACACACCTAACGATTTACGGCCTTTTTCTAAACAATGCTAATGGCGAATAGGTATTAAAGAGCCCGCGGCCATGCTCCAATGCTCGTTCGATAAAATAACAATAAATCACGTTAATGCAGTTAATTATTAAGAACGGTCGCCGCAACAAAATAAATAAATATCTCAGGTACCGCGTAGTTCCCTGATTATAATCGCTTATACAGGGTGAGCGCTGGTTCTTCAACCTCGCGTTTTTGCCCGTTTATCGCCTCGGAAGTGTGTCACGACCGTACGGCGCGCCGAGAATAAACGCTTCCGCGCCTGTTTCATTTTTAGGCCTTAAGTCGTACCAGGAGTCTTTGGCGTCGACAAAGGAATGCTGGCAGTATCAGGAAACGCGTTGGAACCGTATGAGTCAAGGATTATCACGAATTTAAATAGTTACACAGCCGTTACAAAGCATTTTTGTAAATACCGAACTCTATATCAACATAATCTCTTAAAAAATATATTAAGCCTTGTTTACACCGCACTGTGACGTCACTTCAACAGCAGTAAGGCTTTGTTGTCTAAAGGGTAACTCAAAACAAGTGTTTATAAGTGGATTGTGTAATGAAATGTGTTCATTTATTAATTTTTTTATAATATTCATACTCATAATTCGTTAGTGTAAAAAATCAATACTCCCTTTCAATAATAATTAATAAAAACGGAACGCGGAAAAACCCGAGTTGTAATGTCATATCACTCGTTAACGGCAAGCCTACATACTTGGCTGAGTCCTGCATATATCAAAGGTCATCTCCTAGCTATGAAAGCAGACAAAAACAAACACATTTAAACTAACCTAAATAAAAAAAATACGGCATTACAAATGTTGACGAAAAAATATCGATTTTTAGAAACGTTAACTATTGTAGACCCTGGTCTAATTGTAAGATCACTAAGGAACTGTCGTGTCGATATTGCAAAAAGAATAATAAAATTTGTAGTAATGTTTTCATGCAAATCGTTTACAAAAAGTCCAAAATCTGACGTCACTCTCACTCGTACTACTACAATTGAAAAACTATTCAACAAGTACAGTGTCCTTCACGGTAAGTGGCTAAAAATAAGTCAAAAATGTTAAAGCTTCGGAACACACAAAGTATAATAAGATGTACCCAAAGGAAATTATACCAAGTGAACCATTTTTTACGTTACATTTTGAAAACTTGAAAATGAATTGTTTTTAGATGTATTCAAGGTAAATTTAAATCTTATAATACTATTTGATGTCAAGAAAACATGCATAGACTGTATTTAATAGGACTAAAGAAAATCAAACAAATTAATAAAGTAATAACTAAAGATGTGACTCTTCTTCTGATGGAAAACGTGTCAAAATTTTACATTATATTTCCATTTACATTTGCAATTTTCTGCCAAAACTGTAATGACGATAGCCAGGATAAGTAACTTTAATTTCAACATGAAAATGAAAATGAAAATTGAAGAAAATCTCACTAAAGAAATTTGATATATTTGATACAAATTAACTGTTAACCGATTCTTTTTCCGCCATTTTACAAAACTATGGAAAAATGTGGGTAGTAAAAATATGGAGGTCATCTTTTTAGCTAAGATCACTACGGAAGTGTCGTGTCGATCAGCAAAAGAATTTGCTTTTATAGACCGATCGAAACAACTCATTTAGAGGGGAAAAAGAAGAAAATTGTTACCTGGACTTTTTATAAGTGGAAATGGTAAAGGGGCTTATAATAAATGAAAAAATAGATAAATGCGTGCGCAGGGGTGGCGGAGGGTTGATTTGGGGGGTTGAAAAGTTGTGAAAAATTGTATCACTGGGATTTCTGGCGAAAGTTGACGTCAAACAAAAAAGTATCCAATACAAAAGTTGTAGATTATGCAAAAATCTACAACTTTTGTAAAGGTCACTTTTTAAGACAACGTTAAAATTTCCGAGAAAAATGCGAAAAACGTTTTTATTCTTATTTTCGTTTTTCATTTCTCATTTCCGTAAAAATAATTTAATTTTGACGACACTTGGTGAAAGTATACCTTTCTGTGTCTTAAATAACCACAATTTTTTTAAGATAAAAAAATCAAGAAGTTTCCGCGATATTAATTTTTTCTGGTCTAAAACATTTTTTTTCAAAGAAAAATTCTATTTAGAAAAATCATCGTACAGAGTTCTGCCGGTGATAATTTTTTTCGTTTTGACGTATACTCTTTGGTGAAATAAAAAAATCTGTAATCACAATTCAAAAACATGTTCAAAAATGTAAAAAAAATAAAAAATTACTTGCGATAATGAATTTTTCAGTAATTGTTGATAATTTGCTTAAATTTAAAAAAATTCAAAAACTGATTACTTACACCATTCAATTGTACGGAAAAAAATACAAAAAAATTGTCTCATTGTTTGACACAAAACTTTATTTTTGTACAGTATTGCTATAAACATCTAAGTCGAATAGTGAATAAATAAAATAAATAATAATTTTTTCCGTAGGATCGATTAGTGTGCTTATTTTTTTAAAATTTTGATAAATTCATAGATATACAGTGTGTCCAAGATAAACATGGGATAGCTTTAGGATCTAGGAAACGGTAAGAGATACGGACTGGCTCAAATTAGAAAAAAGCTGTGTTTTTTTATATCTAACAATAAGCCGTTTAGAAAGTTTTAAAATTCGGGATTTAGTTCCGGAGATATCCGGAAAAACACGAAATTTTGCAATCGTTTTATTTTTTTTCTGGCTTTATTTGAAAGGGAATTTTAAAATAAATTGCATATTTACAGTGCCACTTTTTTTGCTCTATCCAATGGCGTCAACATTTTTGCAAGCCGACGTTTTGTCTTCGAGGGGCCATCATAAGGTAATTTTTTTTTAAATACATCGCTGCTATTTTTGTGATAAAATTTAAAGCCATTTTTAATTCTGAATTAGATGAAACTGCTATTGTAATCGTTTAAAAAGGTTTTTACTTTGTTTTGGCTATCATTTAAAACTTTTCCTGAGTACGGCTCTGAACGCTTTCAAAATATCTATTGATGAAAGTCATCATAATAACAGTATAAAAGTTAATACCGCTCAAAATATTCAACAATTTTTTTACTACTATTAGCAATACTAATTAGAGACAATAAAACATTTCATAAATTCGTATTATTTTTTATTAGGTACAACTTTTTAAATTATTGATTAAAAAAAGTTGGATATTTAGTGCTGTATTGACTTTTCTACTGTTATGACTCCCTCCAATAGATATTTTGAAAGCGTTCAGAGGAAAACGTACTCAGGAAAAATTTTACATGACAGCTAAAAACCTTTTTTTTTTGACCCCTGCTCACACATTTATTTTTTTACGTTTATTATAAGCCCCTTTACCATTTCCACTTATAAAAGTCCAGGTAACATTTTTTTTCTCCAATTGCAATTTGGTTGTTGGTTGGACTATTAGTAATTTTTCTTAGTGATGTTATTTTCATGAGAAGTTCGTGAGCTCAGATTTTAACCTAATTTAGATAAAAGGAAATAATAATTTCAAAAAGCGAATTTTAGGTCATTATATGAATCAATCCTTGTACCTGATTGGCAATTTTACTTTATAAAATGGCGAACTTTAGCGTTTGCAACAACTATTAGGACATCTTTATACAATAGAACACAAATATGAGTCTCGCCAATGGTTTTTATTCTACCAGCTATGTTCCCACTTCTGGAGTACCTCAGGGTTCAACTCCAGGACCCTTGCTGTTCATTATGCTTATTATTGCTCTAAACTGTTTTATGCGGACGACTTAAAGATTTTTTCAAAAATATAACATCCTTAGACTAGAATTAAACCCTTGCCTTTTGGAAAAACTGAATTAATTCAATTACAGTTTGGTAATTAATTTAAAACTTTATAGTTTTGAAAAACGCAACACTATGTACTTGCAATACGAGTATATCACAACATCTACAGACTTACATATGTCTCGTAACGGCGACGAAGAATACCCTTTTAGCCTTAAGCTCTGCTATGGCCCGCTCCACCTCTATCCTGCACCGCTTGATCTGATTGTGTCTAGCCTGCACGCTGTTGGAAATGTCATCCATGCTGTCATCTGTTAAAGTCACCGAGACCGGTTAGTTTACGTCTCCAGAAGTCCGGGTCCTATCTGGAACCGTATTACGAAAGGGACGAATGGAACGGAGACGCGGTTGGTGTGTTTTTCACGTAGAAATTTTGTGCATTGACAGAGAAACCCGCCGAGGCATCTAGGGCGTGGCGGCTGAAACAAAAATAAAACAGTTTTGGGAATTGTGCGATGCAACCGATTTTCTTAATGCCGTTTTTCATTCGGGTGTACTGTTCTTTAGATCGAGTGTTTCGTTTATAGTCCATTGAAATGAAGGCTGAACCTCCATTTTTTCCTCTGTCGATCAAACCTGGGCGCAAATATGTTTTCGAACCTCAGGAATCCGAATCCGCAAAAATTTTTGACCTAGGTGGTCAGGAAAGGGGTCAAAAGGTCAAAAAACCGTAAAAAATTAGCAAATATCTCGTAAACTACGGCAAGTAGCAAAAAAATAATTGCGCCATCGTGTTCCCAGGGAAATTTTACATCGATTTTATGCTATTGCTTATTAAAATTAAATAAATTTATGTCAT